CGCGCACGGTAACCAATCGAATAAGCGCGCATGGCCTTCGCAAAGCAAGCTGACAAGTTTTGGGCCTTGCAAAGTAAGCTGCCAAGCTGCAGACTTTTTCTCTTATCAGGCTGTTGTCTGGCGCTCTCTCATCTGTAGCGCTCTCTCGCCCCATACTCTCCTCTCCGCGCTTAGTCTCTCATTCCCTTAGCACAGCCGATTAGGAAGGTGAGTGAGCCCTTAACCTAAGCGTTTTTGACGGATTCTTTTCCTTTTTTCTTTACTGCCGGCCCACTTCCCACCAATACATTCGCATTCGTGTACAAGAGCCACACCAATGTGATCCTGGGCAATGCCTTTAAATTCACTCCATTATAGAAGAACTCCATGCCGAGCTGTGCTACGCAGAATGTCTTCTGTCACGTGCAGCGCTCGCGTTTTTCCAAGACGACAATTTTGCCAGCTTTATCCGAGGTGCTCTTCGAATTCGTAGCTGCTACCAAATCTACAGGTGACTTCACATTATTCGACACTAATTCATTTTGAAGGTAATGAGCGTGATCGATTTGTAATGCACTAGTAAGTGACCGTGGATATGTGAAGTGAAAAGCCAGTAATGAAAACACGAGAGGAATCCTTGGACACGACGAAAATAAGAACCCCTCTCCTGCAGCAATGGAGAGAACAGCGGTCGCCCGATCCAGGTCTTATGTGGTGCACGCGGAATCCTGAGCTTTAGCCGCCAGATCTTCTTACAATCGTGGCGCTAAAGGGTTACATGCTTTGCGCATGCATTCCACTCCACATTTCTAATGCAAGTGCAGAACATGCACCCCCGCCCCCACAGTGAGTTTGCTTCAGAGGTCTCGGACTTTGCTTTTAAGCAGCATGCCCCCTAACTTGCTTCGAAGAAGTATCACTCAAAACAAAATGGCCAGCGATTGTTGCTAGATAACTACAACGTTTGTGTCTGCTCAGAAAAAAAAACCACATGGAAAGCAAAAATAGAAATTGCTATGTAAATAATTGACAAGGTTCAAGTTGGCCTTCAGGAAATTTCGGTCATCTTGAATGAACAAGCAGGCTACTTCCATTATAATACCCTACCCTGCTAACTTGATATTAATAGATAATTAACAGATACTGCGAGCGTCTGATGATGGACGAAACAATCTGGATGGGGCGAGATTATCGCGTTCGAGAACACTTTGAAGCTGGAGTACTAATGGGACTCGGAACGTTCAACTTGATGCTATCCACTCTACCATCGAAGGTGCTACGATTGCTGGAAGTGGTCGGATTTTCAGGAGATAGGGTAAGTAAATACTCACCTTGAGCTACAGGTTAGCTCGGCATTTGAGCACTATTTGCTGTGGTCAACACCGTCTGCTGATTTGCTTTTCAATTTTCAGATAATCGGAATGCGTTCGTTGCATCGTTGTGCTGCTATGTCGAATACGGTGTTCGCCTCCTTTAGTGTGATGCTTCTTCTCGTATGGCATCTGATCGTTTGTTTCATGTGAGGCGTTCCGCATATTTAGCCGTTTATTTCAAGTTTTTTTCTAGATATTTAATAGGGTTTGGCAGTTAACTTCACGCCTTGTCTTGCTTCAATTTCTGGTACGATGCAAGTTTAGCTGGGACACTAGGGTACTGTGCTCCTGGTCGACGAACCTTGCACGGCGAACTGTAGTACTGTTGATGATGACGAAATTGAACGTAACTGGTGGGTGGGTGTTGAGAGCACGGTCGACCGCCCGCTGCACAAAGGCCAACAAAGGGGGTCGTATTTGGCCAACTGAGGGGTTTCTAGAATCCCAACAGATAATTTCGGCAGAAGAAAGGCTTCCATTTCGAAGCTTTCCAGGAGAGAGGAGCACATACTATAAAGCATGATCTTATACTATACATAATACATACTCAATGGTTTGCAGCTTTGCAGCTGCAGCTTACTTTGAACTTATGGACATTTGGAGGGGAAACTAGCTTTTCAGGGGAAAGTTCGAACAAAGTCATACAGGGGAATGAACGGAACAACGGGATTTCCTATTCTCTGCAATAGTGGCTTCTTAGAGAAGCTTTAGCATTTTCCTCAAAAGCGCTAATCTTCGCATATAACTGGCCTTTAAGATTTAACCATAAGAAATTTATTGTCATGAGCGTGAATGTTGAGTATTCACATGTGCACAAAAAA